TCATTTGTCTCTGTGTCCCTGTGATGGACTGGAGACCTGTCCAGGATGTCTCCTGCCTCTTGCACAGTGATGGCTGGATATGGACACCAGTAACCCCCACGGCCTGAAAAGGAAGAAGCAGATAAAGATAATGGATGGATGGATGGATGTTATCCTCCCCATGAGCGGTGGACCAACAAAAATCACTCCAAGAGTAAGGTGTTTAATAGATGGCGAGGTAACAAAAGACCCCATGGTAACATCTAAGAAGTGAAGGCCTTTTTCACATTGACTAAAGTTAATGTTCATGAGTCCACCATCAGGAGAACACTGAGCAACAGTGGTGTGCATGGGTTGAAGGAGAAAGCCACTGCTCTCCAAAAAGAACATTGCTGCTCATCTGCAGTTTTCTAAAGATCACATGGACAAGCCAGAAGACTGTTGGAAGAATGTTTTGTGGAATGATGAGACCAAAACAGTATTTTTGGGTTTAAATGAAAAGCGTTATGTTTGGAGAAAGAAAAAAACCTGCATTGCTGCATAAGAACCTAATCCCATCTGTGAAACATGGTGGTGGTAGCATCATGGTTTGGGCCTGTTTTTCTGCATCTGGACCAGAATGGCTTGTGAGCATTGATTGGACAATTAATTATGAATTATATCAGAGGATTCCAAAGGAAAATATAAGGACATCTGCCCATGAACTGAATCTCAAGAGAAGGTGGGTCATCCCTTGAAGCTATTCTCTATGAAGAAATGGAAGGAATTCCTCCAGGCTGTGTGCAGACTGACCAACAGTTACTGGAAACGTTTAGTTGCAGTTATTGCTGCACAGGGGGTCACACAGATACTGAAAACAAAGGTTTACTTTTGCCACTCACAAATGTGTAATATTGTGTCATTTTACTCAATAAATAAATGACCAAATATAATATTTTTGTTTCATTTTTTAAACTGGGTTCTCTATCTACTTTTAGGACTTGTGGGAAAATCTGATGATTTTATGTCATATTTATGCTGAAATATAGAAAATTATAAAGACTTCAAAAACTTTCAAGCACCACTATAGACTTTCACAATAATGACAATCAACTTTTAAAATACATTGAGCTTAAAATAAATTTTTTCCTCTTTTTTTTTTTTGTTTACAAAAATTTGTTGTCCTGCTCTTTATTTGTAATAAAACCTCATATGAACTTGTGCACCCATACTACTGGTATATTTTGCATCAATACGTAATAAGTTAATTCAAGTTTTTTGTGCTATAATGACCTAAATCCTGATTTGGAGAAAGTGATACCATTCATATATAGAATCTTTTAGCTATCTAGTCAAGAATTCACATGCTTTTACATAAGTTGAAAATAATTATTGGAAAGCAGTCTTTTAGAGTCTGATTTTATGTTTTCAGATTAATGTACTTGACTACAAATAGGCAAGTATCTTCTTGTAGCAAGTAGCTATTTCTAGCACCTCACAGCTAAAGGAAAACCTCTTAACAACAAAATTCCAACTTTTATTACACAAACTAATGTTTTGACAAATGTATATTTTTTTATTTTTATAAATCAGTTCTATTTGTATAAATTAAAACACTGCGATATGAATGATAGCTTAAGTTTAATGAATATAAACATTTGCTGATTGCGTTTTTGTTCATTTTGTGTATTGCGTGAATAATCACTATACGAGCTACATGTATACTAACATTGCCTGGCTTTCCAAAATTATTCTGTCCTCATTCTTGTGATGTAGTCAAATGTTTAGAACACCAACACTTGTAGAGGGAGCTGTTTTGGAGCTCTGTAAATGTCTTTTTATCATGTAATCACATGATAACAGATGTAAACTATCACTCAGATACTGTCATTGACACTACGGAGAGGAAGAAAATGACAGAAAGAAGGAAAAAATGAGGGACAGAGGATGAAAATGTGTGAGATACTCTGCTGGAGAGAAATTAAATCACTGGCCAAATTATTGCGTGATTGCTCATTCCCCAAAGACTTGGGCATCATTTGCTAGAAAGTGTCTAATAATTGGTTTTCGGCCATGTCAGACACATGCAATTCCATCTACTAATGGCTCTGTTAGGCAGAACTAGGCCTCCTGGGTCAGAAAAGAACAAAAAATAGCCATACTGCAAAAAAATAAAAAGGCACCCTGCACTCTTGTTCCTTTGTATTTTTCTCATTTAAATGAAGGAACCAGAGAGGTTAAAAAAAAAGACATGAAGAAGTGAAGAGATAGCAAGAAGGAGACGGTGCGCATGCGAGCGAAGAGGAAATGAAGTGGCAATAAGTGCAGCCAAAGGGGAAATGCTCTTCACCGTGAGTTTAATACATCAGACTGGGGATTTGGCAGCCCGCCACACAACAATTGTTTACCTTTTTGCTCACTGGCTGCATCTGTTCTGTTTTGTAAACGGCACTAAACTATTCGCCCGTAAACACCGGAATCAATAACAACTGCTGAGGGAATTCCCCTACCCCGCCCCTCCTCCTCCTCATGTTCTCATCCCTAACCACCACCACCCCCTTTCCTTCTCCTAGATCTCCTTCTTTCTCTCTTTTCTCTGTATTCCCTGCCAGTCAAGACCAGTTTGTGTCGGTGTGTGTGTGTGTGTCTCTCCCTCTGTGTGTGTATGTATATGTGTGTGTGTGTGTGTGTGTTTCATAGAACGTGCTGTAGAGCTGGTGGAACCCCACAGAGACAAGAAGACAAATGGCTCACCAAAAATACCTGCTCTGTTTAATTCTCATTTTTTTGTGTTATGCTGCTGTTGTCATTATTAAAAGCTACACATGAAAAAAATACAGAATTTTAACTTTTAGCTTTGACATTGTCACTCTTTTTTTATACTGATCCACAACAGCATGAACAGCATGATTTATGCCTTAGGGCTGTTTGATGAGTTAACTCCTGCTTTAATGTCCATCACAGAAATATGACTTTAGATTTTTTTTAACCATTTGTTCAAACATCTTTACACTTTAATCTCATGCAGAGCATCTCTTTTACAAACATAATTTTAGCCCCACTCTCAGCACCAGCTCTTCCCTTATTGATTCTCAGTGCATTGACCTTCATTTGAACTCTTCTGCCCGTTAGTCCTCCCTCCCCATTTTGCTCTGCAAGACATGCTATGTACTTTGCTATATGACACACCTGGGTGCTTTTAAGCACACCCTCTCCATCAAGTGGCTATGGGAGCCTCCATTTGGTCTTACTGTTGTGACAAAGGTATAATGAGGTTTAGATGGCTATGTACTAGACTTCTATGGCTGTAGGCCTATTTGGCTAGGGAGAAGACTATAAATACCTATCTAGCTTGTGAGACAGAGCTCAATGAAAGACAATGCTGAGGGCTGCTAAACATCAAGGTCGTGAGCCACTATTTAGAGTTGACTTAGTGAGCAAGTGAAACTGTTGAAGGGTCACAGGTTGATGGAATGAGTGGAATGAATGGTGGCTGAGGAGAGAGACTGGAAAAGGTGATGCTCCAGATGAAGTGCTCGGTAATAGTTGTACTCAGATGAGCACCCCAGAGACAGTATGGATTGGGGGCAGGAGGGTTGTAGTGAAAGCTTTTACTGAATCAAGTGGCTATCTCCCAAACGTGTCCCTTTTCATTGGGTAGATTAGGTTACCTTCGAAATGTTGGCTGTTTCCCCCTCCCTCTGCTTTAAGCATCTGGTTTGTCAGTGACTTCAGTAACAGACAAGACTTGTGGTGCATCTGTGAATGAGCAGGCCTGGGAACAACACTGGCACTTGGGTGTCAGCAAGGTCACTGTGCACACACCCCGATGTGGAGGTAGTCTCCACAGCCCTGGTTCCGTTCAAATTCATTACAGACAAGCTGGAAACCCATGCAGCTTAATTACACACAAACGCAAATGTAAGCCCACGTATTTAAACATGTCAAACAATTTACACAGCATTGCGCTTGCGATTTCCGTGCTTTTACACACCGGTGTACACTAATACATTTACACCAATCAAACTGCACACAGAAACAATCTTGAGGTTAGAGTGTTTTTATAGTGACCACATCCTCTGGGTTCAACGTTGACAATTATCTTTGCAAGACTGACATGTGCAAATGTGTGTGGAAGTGTTGTGTACAAATCGAGTTATTTATAATGACCCACATTACATGCACATAAACATGTATGTACATGCACCCCAGATACAAGCACACACAAAAAACTCAGTGACTCATTCTCATTAGTACTCACATAAACATACACAAATGCCCAGACACAACACACTGAATCAAACCTCATGCGTGATTAAATCAGACATCCTTGGGGACATTGTTGTTGTCATATTGTCAGATTTTGTTTAACAATATAGCAAAATTACATTAGGATCCAGAGGCAATAATGTCATCATTATTGGAAAAAGACCCCCCCCCCCCCCTCTTCTCTCCATCTCAGCGCTCTATCATCTCTGTGCTTTCAGAGTCAAGGCTAATACCGAGCTCATCCATTCCCAAATGCCTTTGCAGTTGAGAAGCTCATTTAAGCAGGCCCACAAAAGTATTTGTGCATGTGTCTCAGCGTATGGCAACACATCTCCCAGCCGCCCATTCTCCAGCTTAATGCGGAACATCCCCTGGGTGATGGCTTTGGCAGCCTCCAAAATGGGAAATCCATATTTGCCGAGGGGGTCATCGGCAGGTTAGGGAGAAAAAAGTTTTCTGCTAAGAGGGAACATTGTGCATGTGTGACTTCTCTGGGAACAAAGTTTTGCATATTTTTCCACTGTTGCTTTGTTTGTACTGTGTACTGGGAAAACAAGGACGGGTCGATATTTACAAGTGATGTCATGAGCAGCAAGATTTCTTTTAGAGGGGTGTTTTGAGTGTTTGTAAGCAAGGAGGCTTGGGAGAAAAGTTAAAAAGGATTGTTTATTTCTTTCTTCTGAACAGCAAACTGTAATGCATCTCTGTCTGTTATACATCTGCAGTTTTATGTTTGTTTATTTATCTCCTTTCTCTTTTTACCCCCTGCTCAGCACCAATGGAGCTTCCAATCAAAAGTAGGAGCTTCAGTTTGACCTCCCACCAGCTGAGGGCGTTAACCCAGCTGGCTTGCATCCTGCTGAGGTTTGAAAGTGATGCAAGTGAGCTGGTTACAAACATGACCTTCGTAAATTGTACAGAGGATGCTCCCTGTGTAAAAGGTACTGCTTAGCTCACCCCTTCCTCCCAAAATGCAAAATTTACCTGTAGAGAAATTATTAACACTTAGAGATGGCAACATACCTTACATTTGACTGTGACTCTCCAGGTCTCGTATGTTTTTAGTTTGTGTAAATCTAAATTTACAGGTCTACTTCTCTGATTATATCTAATACATAAGCTGACAAACACCCCCCTCCCCCCTCCCGGCGTACACGCACCATTTTTAATTTTAGCGTTAAATCTGCGTTGGGTGTTAAAAAAAAACAACCTGTATATTAGTTTGGAATTATCTTGGGTATTATATAAGCTTTTAGTATCCTTTTCCTCTTTCCCCTTTGAACTGCCACTGCAGAGATGTTAAATGAAAGCTTTTGGTGCATGGAGTAATTTCCATAAAGGTTACATTTACAAAAACAAGACTTGCGGAAAGGCTCAATTTACAGAGAGGTAAACAGCCTTTAAAGGGCAGTTATCCAAATCATTAATTCCAGGCAATCAAACGACTTAATTACCAGAAATTCATCAGATGGGCTTAAAGGTCAAAAAGTGATGTGCTCGCTTCTTCCTTCTCTTCCATTGCGTACGGTCTTGTTCTGCTAAATTGCCTCGCCTGGGGTCTTACTCTTTGCTTTCTGATTAGGAAAACTATGGCCTTGATGTTCATACTTTTTAATTGAAACCCAACTCAATGTCTTGCACACTTGTATTCATGGCACCTTCATACATGCTACAGTCTTTCCACACGTTCACATAATTATCCCTCACAGACTTACCCTACACACTGTTGCAACAATCAAGGTTCAAGTCCACTCTAAACCCTAAATTTGTACATTTGTTTTTGTCAGCTTTTTTCTTACTGTTTTCTTTAAGACAGTCATTTTCTGGCCATGTTGTCTCTTATTTGTGATAACCTCTAGAACTAAAGCAATAAAGCATTGCAATCATGCCTAAACCTGCATTTTCTTAAATAATAATAATGTGTTGTTTTAAAATCAACTGATCACTGTAATAATTTGAAAATTTAAAGGTTTACTTGAATCAAAAGGTCCTTTGCTTAATCAATGGCTTAATAGCACCGTTCTGTTTAATCTATTTAAGTTAAATTCTATTCTATTCTGTTAATTTATTAAGGCTTAAAGTTACATATGGTGTTTGAAGCTGCATCTTCAAGGGGCAAATCAGTTTTTTTTTGTTTGTTTGACTACCATCGACTAAATGTAGCATAATGACCTTGTATTGTCAGTTCTATTCATTCTTTGATTGTCACTCATTTCTTCTAAAATCCAACATTGGCCACAAGGCAAACAGAAGTCTCAAGGCTTCAAAACAGTAGTCCAGAGAAACTAATGAGGGACATCTGTGTGCACATGTGTCATACACAGAATCTACAGCTTCTTACAAGCAGTGGGGGAAAGTAAACACATGAATAAGCACAATGAATATGATAAATAAAGAATTATTCACAAGTTATATATTGAACAGAGTAGATCATATAATTCAAATTTAAAATCGGAACTTCCTTAATTTTTTCCTTATAGCTTTGTGATTATAATAAAAAACAAAACAAAAAAAACGGTATCATGTGAGAGGTTGAATGCTTCATACCATTTTCATTTTTAATTATATTTTTACAGTTTCTTTATTTCTTAATTTCTTAGGAATCTTGAAAAAGTGTAAAGAGGACTCAAACATGAAAACAGATGACAATAAACCCACCTCAGACAAACTTCACACCTCAGAGGTGAGACTTTGCATATATTTCTTATATAAAAGCCTAAAAGTATCATTCAGTCACATTTCCAGCTGTAACGAAGTGACAAATTAATTTGTAGCATCAAAATAAATGAAGTATTCCTCCAGCATGAAATAAGGATTGACTGTTGATTCATTTCTTGCTTTTCAGAAACAGTCTATAGAGTTTACCTGGAGGTCGGCATTTAGTTGTCTAGTCCCCCACATGGAGCATTGTGTCAAAGTGGTGCTGGATAATGTCTGTGCCATAAATCTACAGCAAGAAGAGGCTTTATATTCTTCTGGACACTCCTCAGTCAGCCTGAGCCCCATCACTGACTTTTCTGTCAGCAACAAACATCTCCAAGAAGACTACTTATGTTACTTCTCAGAGAGGGAGACTCCCAAAATGATCACCAAGGTACTGTAGAAGAATAAACTAAGTAAAGTCTATTTGCTCTTTATGTGCTTTTTATCAGAAATCTCCATATGTAATGTGATGATGATTTATTTTTAGTAGAAAATCTTTCAATATTCAAATTTAAAACAAAACAGATTTTTGGGACATGTGTTCTAATCATTCTTCAGCTTCCCCTGCTTTTATTTCCAAATTCAGCTTATGAGTTCCTCAAAGACAGATACAAACTACAATTCTGCATACAAGTATACTTTGAATAAAACCTTAACTTGTTACTCCTCTTGTGCATGCACTTGTTTTCCCTTACACAGTGGAGTCCCTGTCCCCTTCATCTTTCTTTATTACTCTCAGAGTGAACAATGCAGGTTTACACACAACACCAAGACCCAGGGAGATTAATGCTTTTTGTCACCCCAGTACAAAGCTTCTGCTGTAATAGAGAGCCCAAATAATTTGGGCCTGACACTGTTGACACCCTGCATTAGAAAGGGCCTTGGGAAGAATCATCAGTTATACTTGAAAGGGAGGTTTCCAGGGACAAAAGAGAGACAGGGAAAGACCAAAAACCAGTATGGATGATATCATGAAGGTTAGATGAAGTCTAGAGAAGGGTTTCAATGGAGGAAATGGGGAATCTAGGCTGTTCTGATGATAGAGGGATGCATCACAAAGGTAAAATGACTAGAGTAAGAAAGCAGGATAAAGAAGGGATAGTTTCAGCAAAAGGATGATAAGAGAGGGCCTGGGAAATGGTGAGGAGAGGTGAAGTAGACAATGGAGATTGACTTTTCTCAGGAAGAAGACTAGTGTGTGATGTAAAACCAGGCTTAGCATCTAACACCACAAAGGATCTGCAGTGTTTGGGGCTGGACAGCTACATGCTTACTAGCACTATATCTCTTTAGCCTCTTTTTTATTTTCTTTCCTGTTTCAGTAATACTGAACAACTATTTTGGGGTTTCCGCCAAAAACTTCTTGAAAGTTTCTCTAATACGTCGTCTCTCAACCCCTGTTTCTCCAGTGTTCTCCACACTGAACACCGAGCAGACCTCTATAGTTTCTGCCTCACCTTTCTGCTTCCCTCCTCCTTCCACCCTTTTTCCCTCCAATCATTTTTACTCTGACGGAGTTTGTATCTCTAATTGTAAACTAGTGTCAGAATTTGTCTGTGCTCAGGAGCTGTACTATGTACTTATGTGTAGGTCAGCGCTTCAAAGATGAGAGCCTTTCAGGCAAAAGGTTATACTTGCATGCATTTGCATTCAGAAACACTAAGCCACAGACAGTCAAGATGAGACTGTAAAATATATTGTGCATATATATTTTTTTCTCCTTGTTCTTTTTGGCACAAGTCCTAGAAAGCAGAGAGAAAAACACAAGGTGGTCAAGTTTAATTAGTTGAAAGCCATAACTGGGATCAATATTTCACAATTTTGTATTCATAATTTTATACCTCAGTGACCACCCTTTTGACGGGAACCCACTTTACTGTTAATTTTACAATGCGTACCTATGTAGGCAGCTGTGACATTTTTCATCCATCAGAGCTATGTATCCACTTCTACTGCCAAATAAATGAGTAACAAATAGTCTCTTTTAAATAACTGGAACCTGACCTTCTGTCAGAACCCAGAATTGATCCGTCTCACCTATTAGAACAGCAAATATATGTTGTCTGTGTTTAAGCTCAACTGAAGTCCATGTCTCCTCCACATTCTGAGCACACTGACAGACATTCTTGACTATTAAAAACTTCTTACACTCTTTTTCACCTCTTTCACTGTTTCAGGTCTATATCAGTGTATCACTGTGTGTCTCTGACAAAGATTTAGATTACAGGAAAGTTGGGCTGATGAGATTACAGATAATGAAAGTAATTCTTAACCAACTTAATGAAATGATTGATGGATGTTCAATTAAACGCCATAAATGAGTGTAACATAGAAACAACTAGAGAAATTGCATTTCCTGCAAAAATGCAATGTGAATGCTGATTGCTAAATGATTATGCTGAAAGCTGCTTAAAATCTATCCATCCATCCATTATCTTTACCCGCTTATTCCATTTTGGGTCACGGGGGTCGCTGGTGCCCATGTCCAGCAATCATTGTGCAAGGGGCGGGGTACACCCTGGACGGGTCGCAAGTCCATCACAGGGACACATAGAGACAAACGAGACAAACAACCATCCACTCTCTCATTCACACCTAGGGACATTTTAGAGTTACCAATCAGCCTAACATGCATGTTTTTGGTCTGTGGGAGGAAACCGGAGTACCCGGAGAAAACACACGCATGCACAGAGAGAACATGCGAACTCCACCCAGAAGGCACCTGGACCGGGGTTTGAACTAAGAACCTGCTCGCTGAGAGGCAGCAGCTCTACTAGTTGCGCCACCGTGCTGCCCGCTTAAAATCTAGTTTACTTGAAATTCATCAATAACTAAACATTTGAAAGATTAAGTTGTATGAAGCACAAAAAGCAAAACAATATCTAAAAATGTAAAAAAGATTGAAATTACGTTGAAATGCTAAAATGTGCAGAAAAGCATCCATCCATCCATTATCTTTTAACCACTTCTTCCTTTTTGGCTTGCAGGGGTCACTGGCGCCCATGTCCATCCTGTGCGAGAGGCAGGGTACACCCTGGACAGGTCGCAAGACCATCACAGGGCCACGTAAAGACAAATGAGACAAACAACCATTCACTTTCTCACTCACACCTAGGGACAATTTAGAGTTATCATTCAGCCTAACATTCATTCAACCTTTATTTAGACAGGTTAATCCCATTGAGCCTAGAGGACTCATTTACAAGAGAGACCTGATTTTAACAAAGAGTGATGACAACAGTGGATAACAACAACAACAATAGACAATCATAAAAGAGGCATACACATTATTATTATTTTCTTTTTACAAATTAAAATAAGATGGCAAAAAAACAAAAGTAACAAAAACAGTTAGCTTATAAGGCGATGTAGAAAACTAAAAACAGGAACATGTCTGCATTGGTTCTTGCCAGGAGTCCAACAGATTCTTAAAGCCACTTAGAGAGGTTAAGGTTGAGAGCTTCAGATCTTTTTGCAAGATATTCCAGGAAACAGGAGCAGAGTAGGAGAAAGCCCTTTTGCCTAGTTCAGTCCTCACTGAGGGAACACTGCAGGTAATAATGTCCTGAGAGTGCACGCTGTAGCTGCACTCACGCAGAGACATGTAGGAGAAGATGTATGAAAGCAGCAGACCAAGAAGTGATTTAAAAATGAAAATGTACCCGTGGGAGAGTCTGCGTGAAGTTAATGATGTCCAGTTAACCAGTGAATACAGGGTGCAGTAGTGGGTACGGTAGTTACAGCCAGTTATGAATCTTAGTGCACCTTGATAGACAGCATCCAGCATCTGCAAGGTTCTTCTAGGAGAGTTCATGTAAATAATGTCACCACAGTTAATGGAGGTAAGAAAAGTCAAAGTTACAAGGTGTTTCCTATCATTCAGAGTTAAGCCCCCAGTATACTCCCGCGTACGTCCGTTCATGCGTACGTATGCGTGTACTGTACGCAGAGGGTTCAGACTTCGTACTCCAACGTACACCCCGAGCAGCTGCAGAGCAGCTTCACTGACAAGGGGTGTTTACCTTCGTGACAAATTGAGGTCGCAGATTGGTCATTTGCTGACACCCTATTGGATTGATTGATAGGTCGGGAAAAATAAAAAACCCCGAGTGCTAGCAGCCTCAGCCACAGCGGTGTTCTGTGTTTATATGTTGTTAATAAAAAGATCTAAAAAAACAAACAAACAGGGAGCGCTAGCTCTGCAGCCCACACATCAGACCAGCCCACCAGGAAATCTCTAGACCCTCCTGCAGCCACGCTGGACCTGAGTTTAATTTGCTCGTGACAAATTCTTCATTTCTCACCATTTCAGTCATGGTATAAACGGAGGAGGAAGAGATCACTGCCTCTTGGCAAAAAGAAAAAAGAAAAGGCCAGATCAGGGATGAAGAAGGAGAATTTAATGCATTGGTGTCGCATACAAAACACTCCATCGCCGGGCAGTTTATTGTGCGACACCGCATACTCCTATGCGGTCGTAAAAATTGAACTTTGCACGGACATGCCCTGGGGGGTACGCTCATACCTCTGCGTATGTACATGCGTACCTCTGCGTATGGACGTACACGGGAGTATACTGGGGGCTTAAGACAGGATCTGTTTCTAAAAAAGAAACCCAGTTTAACTTTCAGTTTCCTTACCAAGTTTTCCACGTGAAGCTTAAAAGAGAGATGTGAATTGATCAAGATACACAAATATTTATAGGACAAACTTAATAGGGACACCATTTGAAGATAAAATCAGAGAAAGAACTGCTGGGACCAACTTCCTGTTTGAAAAAAGTATCCATTTGGTTTTATCGGCATTTAGGGCAAGTTTGAGGTGGAATAAATCTGACTGGATGATGTCAAAGGCGGATTGCAAAAGCAAAAAAAAAAAAAATCCATGTTTTTGGGCTGTGGGAAGAAACTGGAGTACTCGGAGAGAACATGCTAACTTCACCCAGAAAGGCCCCCGGACCAGGATTTTGAACCAGGGCAACCTGCTCGTTGAGAGGCAGCAGTTCTACCAGTTGTGCCACCATTCTGCCCTGCAGAAAAGCAATAATTAGAGAAAAAGAAGAAACAAAAAGGAAAAGAATAAGAAGCTAAAAGTAGTGTGCATAAAGGCACAAGTAGAAATAAAGCTAGCAAAAAGAGGGGAAAAAATGCTATCTAAGAGCCAGAAGAAGTAGAATGCTAGAAAATAACAGGAAAAGCTAGGTTAGTAGCAGAAATAGCAAAATACTAGAAAAAACGAGTATCGCTTGCTGATTGATTGTAGCCAACAGTAAGTGGTTGTAAGCTTCTCATATAGGCAAACATATTGAACTCATTGTTCTCTGAATAAGAATAATAATATGGTATTTAGGAGAGATAGTGGTGATTGTGTATGAATCATGTGGTACATAGATTATGTTTTTAAAGTGTTATTGTAAATATAAAGTATATTTACTGTATTTCAAATTTTTATTTTGTATTTTATTCTGACATGCACACAAGAATCCTAAAACCACCCCTTTTTTTTCTTTTCACATCACTAACGTTTGACAAGTTGAAACTTTTTTACATCCAGTGTTAGATATGTTAAAGAAGGTTATAACAGTATCCCATTGTCTCTATCACTTTGATGGAAACATTTGCATCAGCTGAAAGTATCATACAATTTAAAACCTACACCTGTCTTGTGTGTCCATACATACACACACACACACCTACTTTGTGAGTCTTGATCAGTCAAACACCTAGGCAGTGTAGAGGAACAGCTTTAGAACGTGCTGTCTTTGTAGACCTGTTTCTGCGACAAATATGCATAAGTCTTGTTTATTGTTCTGGCAGCTTATACAATCAGCTGTAGGTATTTTATAGTGCTGAAATAGTTCTTTCCTTCTCACCTTTGCCTGACCTTTTTCTTACCTCTTCTTTCCTTTCACTCTCCCTCCTTTGCACTATAATATTTTTCTATAAATGTGACTGTTGTGACAATACTGTTTTCGACTGACCCTCCCATCCTTATGTATTCCTAAAGTTTTGCTGAGGCTGTATCTTGTCTTATCCGTGCTGTAGGAACTCTAAATCAACTGGTTTACGAGCTAAACCGTAAGGTGGAGGTGATTTATGAGAATCGCAGGCAACCTGCGGCTTCTGGGACTCATCAGCGTGGTGGGTTCGACCTTGAGGGAGACTCATAGCATGGATCAGTGGAATGGAATCCCACAATTAGGCTATTTCGGAACCAGAATGTCCAGATGGGCTCGAGGCCAAAGAAAAAAGTAATTTGTCTGCCTGAAGAAAATCAACAATCAAAGCTTATCTTAATCTGACTCCCGACGGCCTCGGAGTAGGCCAACTATCAAATTTCTCCTGGGTCATGAGTAACCAAGGACAAAAGCTTCATCTATCCCCCCCGAGAACTTTCTGTGCAAACTTATCAGAACTGTTGTTGTTGCTGGTAGTTTTTTCTTTTTATCTCTCAAATTGTGTCCTGATAGACAAGATGTGAAAGATCTTTTTTGTAATACCACTATCTACCGTTCATGTTTCTCCCCCTTTTCCTATCTAAGATTATTATTCGGAAAAAGGATAATAGAGGCCACGCTTATAGCAGCAGTTTCGTGCACTCCGTCCATCTTCCGGACGACTGCATGTACATGTTCTCGTTGTATCTCGGTGCAATGATAGTAAAGCTTATTCTGATCTTCAGGCATTTGTATTCAACATTTGCACTGATTTCTTTGCTTTTTAGTTGTAATAGTTTGCCCGATGTTCGAAAAAATGGCAAAATATTTTACTTTTTGCATATATACTGAGATCTCTATCTAAAGATTCCTTCTTTCAACCGGCATACTTTACATCTGGTATTGATAGCATGCTGTTTCATCTTTGCCTTCTCTCTGCAGTTCTGTGGAGCAATTCTGAATGAGCTCGATGCCTTACTACCATTGGCAGTAGCCTGCAGGAACAGTTCCCTCCTGGGGGTGCGATCAAGTTTTGTTGAAGCTTGTGGCAAAGCGGCATTTGCCATGTTGGGCCGTTTGCAAGAGAGGGCCCTGGAGGTACCATCTTCTGCACCCCTGAAGAACTTGCCAGCTCTGCTTTCTACTTGTATTTATGTACACCAGCGATTGGAGTACTACTATGTCAGACTGAAGGATTCAGATGCAACTCGAGCTAAAATGTAAGAAGGTGGACTGAGCATGTCTATTGTTTGGTTATTCAATTTTTCCCAACTGTAAACAAAATAATTCTCATCATTGACATTTGTCATCTCTTTAAATGCACCTATGGAAAACAGAAACATTTTGTCTTTTACTTGACAGTTTGACTAACTTTAAAATCAGCTGAAATGTTCAACAGTCAAGTGCGTCAATGTTCTAAAGTTTTTGATACATGGAGGAAAGTAGCAGACAGTTACTTCAAAGAATAACAGGAGAAAACACTATGTCACAAACTGAACTGGTAAATTAAAAATTGGTCTTGTTTTCTTGTAAACATTGTTATATTATGCATTTCAATCAAAAGGAAAATAGTCTCAAAGCAGTGGTTGAGAGTTTTTTTTTCTTTCTTAAAATGGTGAAAAGGAAAACAGAATGTCTTAATTTCAGTATGACATTTTTTGAATTGGACTTAATGAGACATAATCTGATACATAAATTAAATTGACTGTTGGTAATGACTCATATTTTTTAACATCTGGTAACTTTATTGCCCAAAATACCCCCATTAACCTCTGGCATCTGTAGATCCTGTTTAAATGATATGAATCCTGTAAATCCTGTTTGTTGTGCTCGTTTGTACCACAGCTGGCTCTGTGCGCTCCTTCACCTACACACACACACTTCAGTCATTAAACATTTTCATCTCTCAAAAACTATTCAATACTGCTAATTTTGTTTTAGCCCTCTACCTGTTTATCGTACTCTTTGCACACTATTTTTTAATTTGATATATTTTGTTTTGTATCAAGACCCCTGACTCTGCTGCCCATCCAAACGTACCAAGATACAGTTGAAGCTTTAAGAGAACAGCTGACCAGCTACTGCGTCCAGGTTTGCATCACCTGCATTCTTCAGGATGCAGAGAGTCATGACTGGGCTGACCCCAAACCCTTTTATGAGGTAAAGTGTCCATGCCCTTTCAAGATTCATAGTAAGATTAAATTATTTCAATATAAATTGTGCTACATCATTCCAAATTGTTATGTGTTTGCATACTTACCTTTGCACACCTTTCCGTGTTTAGTTTTATCAATGATGCCTGTTGGAGTGTTATTTGTTTACCTTCAAATCACAGAGCAGCAGATAAGCAGATCCTGTATTTGACGACTTCACTGTTCTGACTTTGATAAACTCAAGGAATTATAGTTTAGCGCTTTCATGCTTCTTCTTTTCATTACTACAATACACCTTTACCTCCCACCTTCCCCCCTTCTATATGAGCGTTAAACTCTGGGCTTCCTGAGAACATCTGTGGCTTCAATGCTGCCCTGGGGGCTCCTGGGATTCAGATGTCTGAAGTCTGAAGTCTACACGGGGACTGTCTGGAAACAGCGTAGCACCCCTGAAACTCCACTGCCTTTATGCCCTAAACCAATCTAAACCTTGCCTCCCCATTTTTCTTTATCCAGATTCCCCCCTCCTTTGTTCCTTCCTCCTTCTATGGGTCACTGGTGTCAGACAGGCCTGCTGTGTGCAGGTGTGTGCTTTTGTTCAACCACCCCTGAGTGCATCTGTGCAAATGAATGTATGGACGAGGGTGTGCACATGAATTGTAGGTGTTGGGTTTCATTTGATATGTGAATATAAATGTAATATACATTATATATATATATATATATATATATATATATATATATATATATATACAGTGAACCCTCGTTTTTCACGGGGGTTACGTTCCAAAAAGAACCCGTGATAGGTGAAATCCGTGAAGTAGTAACCTTTATTTTTTTTACATTATACAATGAAATAGTCCATAATACATTCAAACCAAAGAACAAAACCTTTTTACAGGCCCAAGCATTTGTTTAACAAATAAAAGTACTGTTTAAACGTTTTTTACAAATAACTACTGTACTGGAGAGACTGTTTAGCCAATCAGAATGCAGAACACAATGCATGATGCAAATCCGTGAAGCAGCGAGACCGTGAAAGGTGAACCGCGTTATAGCGAGGGTTCACTGTATATAAATAATATAAATTATATATATATATATATATAACAAAACTAAATTAAAAACTGAATTATTTATTTCCATAGCTTACCTGACTAACTGAATGACTTGAACGTGTTCAAATGTATTTTTAAAACAATTCATATAGAAAGTCCAACAAAATGTGTGCATCTGTTTGTTTTAATTTTTTCTGTGGGACAAATGTGTTAAAGTCTTCACTGTTCCAGTTACATTTAGAAAATATGAACATATTTAGATTTAATGTCAGCAACACACTCAACCCAATTTAGGACAGATGTATCCTAATTACTGTGTTGCATCACCCTTTAATTTATTTACACATTTTATTAATTTATTAACTGAAGAAACTGCTGTCATAGTCTCAGTTGTTGATGATATAATTGTTTTTTACTGAATACTGAATTGTAGCTTTTTAACTGTTGGTATACATCATTTTCTGGTTATCATTTCTTATGGTGTGCTATACATCATCAAAAGGAGAAAATTGTGGACTTTCAAGCATGCTAGTTGTGTGTATGAAGTTATTCTATTAGAGTTAGTCTTGCATAATGAGGTCTTGTCTTGTCCTGAATAAACAGAAATAAATGGAAAAACAAGTTGCTCATCGATGTTACCATACAGTATGCCTCTTGAAAATTCCAGTATATTACTCTGCATCCATGGTGCCCTCATACAGATATAAATCACCCATGCTAAGATCACCTTGTTCTTAGAACAGCATGGATGGTCTATCTTTCTCATCTTGTAGATTAAACCCAATACCCTTGTTCACAAAAATCATATGAAAGATTGACTCATCTGACCACAGACCATGTGTCTGTTGTTTTTCTACATGTCTGAGATAGAATATAATAGAATAGGATAGAATAGAATAGAAACAGCCTTTATTGTCCCACAGATGGGAAATTCAAGTGTAACAGCAGCAACAGATGAGCATATGCAGAGCTTTTTGCTTTTTTGTACATTACTTATATATGGTTTGATTTTTAAATTATCAAGTTCGAGGTCTAATTTGCTTGGATTCAGTGTTGTAACCATCTTTAGTTTACTAGAAACCACTGTCAGAAGCATGCCGTCGAGTTGTTGAAATTAATTCTGGTCATATTTCCCATTGATGGCCAATACCTATAACTGAAGGGTGAAAAACAGCTTTGAAAAAGATGGGATTCATTTGGAGTAAAATGAAAGGGGATTTAGGGGTTAATGAGCTGAAGACAGGTGGAAGTTAGAGAGTTTTTCTTTAGATGACTCAGTATCCCTGCCACACTTTCCATCAGCATATTGCTGGAGGCTAAATAGAGTACGGCAAGGCTAGGGGAGTATAGAGCTAGAAAACTGAAAGCATCCTTCTGTAAATTTCTAGCAAAAATGCAGGAATATTGATCCGTCTTCACCAATCCCTATTTTTTATTTTATTGGTAACTCTTGCATTTTCAAACTTTAGTAAAAAACCTTCAGATTCCTCTTCTCACTCTCTGTATATGTATGTGTAAAAATGTGTGCCAGGTACGATGTGATTTTCGTGACTTTGTGACTTTAAAGCAGCCTATAATCCCTGTGGGAGAAGCAACGCAGGTGCAGAGTGCAGGTGGCATGACCACTACAACCTGGTGATGACAGACCTGTCTCTCTCTGGCTTTCTATTCCCTTCAGTTTTTTTTTAATTTATTTTACCTTCCCCTTCCATATTTATCTGTGTGGTGTTTTTACTTCACTCTCAGTGGCCGCATCATAATATATCTGCATCTGCAACCTCGTTCTCACCCATCAACCACCCTTCTTTTCCCACAGGGAGAGCGGTGTTCTTTCTCACTGCAGATGTGGTTTTACTTCCTGTGTGGGCTTCGTAACGACCTGTGGGCAGTCCTTCCTGCAGAGCTGGCCAAGGATGTGCTTGGGCAGGTGCTGACAGAGACGTTACAGCTGCTGGTGCAAAGATATGCTAGGGCTTGTGCTTCATACAAGAGACACTTGCAAATCAGGTATTTCATCATGTGTTGGACTGACACTACATGGAAATAAATGTGATTTAGGTTTTAAAAACAATTATATACCAACCACAGTGCCACACTGCAATTTGTGTTCATGTTTATTGCTTAAACTTTTCAGTTTCTATGTGAAGATTTTAGCAAAATTTGTTAGCACAAATGTTTATAGTGAAAACCAACACTAAACATTCATATTTGTCTGCCTTCATTGTCACATTCACCTTTATTCTGGCTTTGTGTTTAAGATGTGACATCACATCAATGCTGCTTTATGTGGAGCACCTTTTGTGGAGTGTGTGTGACAGCCCTGAGACATTGATGCTGGTAAACCCGTCTTCAGAAATCACCATTATAGCAGGCGGACGTGACTGGCCGTACCTAATCCACAACTTGTGTAACCAACTCCTGATGGTCCTCATAATTGTCACAGCGCCCTTATCTTTACTGTATAGGTTGGTATTGTTTTAATGATTTAATTAACTCCTAACAAAATAAGACAAAAATGCATGTGCATTATGGGAACTAAATTGATAGATTTAGTGGGCTATCAATTGCAAAAACTGATAAACTATAAAATTATCAGAATAAATTTTCATTAATGAAAAATAGATTGTTGGTGCAAATGGCAAACTTTGTGCAATTTTATTTTCTCCAGGACATTTATGATCCACGGTTTGAACGATTCCACATCGCAGCAACCTGATCGTCCTGTTATACGCTGGTTAAATGCTATTAGGCCCGACCTCTACACAGAACTGACCATACGGTATGTAAAACACTCCCATAATGGCATCTGTCACCCATTGTACAATAGACACATAGAACTTTTATGATGACATGCAAAGGCACAAACACATAGTGTGCTACATCAGCTCCTCCACTCGGTGGCGAGCCACATGCAGCAGTGGGTTAAGAGTTATGCCCTTCAAACTGCATATAAAGATATACAACCTGCTGTTCAGGCTTCAAACTAAAGTTGCAGAGTTAAACTAAGACAGATGCAACGTGAAAGAAAAAACATCTAAACTATGCCTCTATGACACAGCGTTAAAGTTGATGGAGTTGTGGGAGCTTTCACGGTGGAGATATCAACAGGCTAGACAAAGTACAGTACACCCTTGTCACCACCTTCCACTCTTCTTTCTTTCACAACCACAAAAGCATTATGTGCTGTGTGTCCAGCACCTGTTGTGAGCAGAGCAGTCAATCACGCTTGCCTCACACTTGTCTCCACCCTTCTGTCTCAAATCTCTCCCAGCCAGAGCTGCACAAATCAAGCCAACACCTATTTTCCTTCTGGGAACTTAAGAACAGAAATAAGTTTAAATTTAAAGACATTTTTTGGAAACATCTGGTCTTTCCTCTTGCTTTGGTGCACAGCACCAGGGGGCTTTAAAATGTTCCAAAACCAGGACCTGGTGCAAAAATCTTTCCATAGTCCATTAAAATATAAATGATATTTAACAGAACATTATAATCACAAAAGATAGAAGCAGAATTTTGTTATCAGAAATTAAATAAACCTCAGAATTTGTTTTGCCTGTGTTTTAGTTTTTGTGCTGTCATGATCCTAATTTCCTTGTTTGCCTTTGCACATGTGTGTGTGTGTTTGGATGCATGTATCTGGGGTTTGTTTTGGTGGTGGGGTGAGGGGGGTGGGGGGCTAACCCAGCTCTAGATTTATCAGTGAAGTTTAAAGAGGATTTCTTATGGATTTGCAGTCCCCGTGACATCATAAATTGTGCTGTCAAACTAAGGCAAAGTTTTCCTCGTTCAAGCAGCAGGGTGCTTTCTGCTCAAGCCTTCTGGCTCAGATGGAATGGTTAAATTCTGGGCAGACCCCCTGTGCTGCCTCCTGCCTCTTTACTCTTATAATCGACTGTCCACTTTTTCCATTCGATTTTATTGAGATATATTTAAAAAGAAAATCATGCAAGCACACATGTCAGCATGCTCTCACACTTTGCACACATACATAACCACAAGCAAAGATTCTGAATAGCACACACACACTTGTACATTTACACACACCAAGGATACGGCTCATTACTCACAGCTGGATACAGCCTTTTGGATATACAAAAGATGTAAGAGGGGGGTATTGCAGTATATTCATGTATTTGGCCATTTCCCAAACGTTAATTTGCTTTAACTGGCAAAGATTAGAGCTAATTCCTTCCTGGCGCAAGCTACAAGTAAGCAAGGATGAAGGTATATTCAGACTAGGACATTACAGTGTATGTAGAGTGACACTGAAGCACTGTATCACTCAAGCTATTCCCTAGTTATTACCTCCCAGACCGTTATCCAGGACTTCTGTCTTTGTCTTTGACTTGTGAAGCCTTCTTGCATCTTTGCGGTCTCTTGCTAAATAGACTTCTATCTTAAAACTCACCTGACACTGCAGAACTGTCAACTTTTCTCCCTTGTTTTTCTTTCTTTTATCACCCTCAGTGAGGGCCTGATGAGTGAGGCTGCCTTGGCATGTCAGTTAAGACTACTGACCTCTGACCCAGGATACAGCCCCAAGTTGCTGCTGCGAATGTTGCTGTACGGAGACTGCCACCTGCCCAGGATACTCCTGGAAAATTCTTGTGAGTCTTTTATTTCATTGTACGTTGGCTTGCGCTTGTGAACATATACATATGATTGATGTTCCGTGCACATTTTATGCCTAGCTGTTCATCTTTTAGGAGAAAATTGACCCCTTTTATTTTTTAATTTCTCATATTTTGCAATCCAGGCCCACAGAATGGTTTTCACAGGGGACATGTGTGGGAAGTGTTTACTAGTGTCCTAATTATGGTGCTCTAAGATCTAAGCAAGTTATAGAGACTGAAGATGAGCTCTATCCATTTTATGAAGTTATCATCAGCATCTTTGCTATCATCATCATTTTCACCTTGGTCATCATCATTACTAAATCAATAGAGCGAAGTAATAAACACTCGACTGGCCCAGGCAGAGCACTTGCTCTGACCTTTAAAGATTTTCCCTTCCTTCTTTTCTCCTCCACATGGCAACAGTCTAACCTTTAAAGACTGTTGTGCACTCGCACATTAATTCACATTATAGCGACCTCATTAATAACAACTCTCACTGCCTTGTTCTCTCGCTTGGTTTGGGTCTGACTCAGAGGCCGTGCGTTGCCTCTCCCTGCACGCCGCCGTAAATCAACACTAGAAGCGCTGACTCTCACGTGTTATCGCCGTGACAGGATAATTAACCAGGATACAGACTGACAGAAAGGATCAGCTTGACTGGAATGCCTTCACTCCAATAAGCTGCTGCAATTTCCCATATGTTTTTTAGATGAGTCTCTATTCATACAAATTCTACTGTCGACTCACTCATACATAAATAATACACTCATTTCCAAACTTACTTCAGTTATTCTTTTTCCCCTCACATCTGTCTATTCAGGTCAGTGTGTTCTGCCTTTTCAAATCAGCTGCTAGTGGAACTACCATTTTTAAAAATGGAATTGCATTTTTTCCCCAGTTCTGTTCCAACTCAAAACTGAAAGAGACAGTACTTCAGGTACACTCATACACACTTTTTTATTGTCTTCAGTGCGGCTGCATCCAATTAAAGGGGTTTTCAGAAAGGGCCCTTATGACTGGTTGACTGGTTGTCTGGAAGATAAACAGGTGCATGTGCTGGCTAAGCATCAATGTTGGAAATGCATAGAGACAAGGAGGCAGGGAAAATTGTACAAGCAAATTAGAAATCAGCATAGAAACACCACCACAGTGGAATCATTGTGTGCTGCAGAAGTCGTGGAAAATCCACAGAGATGTGCCAGAGCACTGACATCTGGTTTTCTGAAGTCATCTGCTGCTTCATAATGGGATCATTATTAAAAGGCACCTACTTAACCTGCCATGCTCTCCAGCACTACAAGTGGAAATTAATGTTAGCCAACCCTATTTCCTTGGCCCATTGCAGTCAGAGATGTGATATTCATAATACTTTCCCCTTAAGGACAATTTACCACACAGGTAGCAAATAAGATGCCTGCCTGATCTACGTAATGAGGCTTAATTGGTTGATTGTGGGTCAACTTGGTTTACCACTTTGAGTGTACATGTTAGTTGAGTGAGAACAGACGATTTCATATAAAGCCCAGTCAGTGTATGAAGGAGAATCACATAATAGACGTTTAGCTGCATTGTCAAACAACAAACTTCACTTGTTTGTTCATTTCCTTGTGTGATTTTCTTCTAAAATCACTGACATTTTATCTTGTGCTTGGCAAAAGCTACAAATCATCAAGTTGTATAAATAAACTTGGCCACTGTTTCCTAACCCAGAATGGATGTTAGAAGAAAAATCTTCACTTGAGACACAACGGTGAATTTTTAAGTTAAGGAAGTCACCTCTAGATAAACTTGTACCTCATATTTTTGCATCATATATAATGTTTAAGTAATTACCGGTAATACACTGCTCATTTTAGCTACACATAACAATATTGATTTAACATTAGACCTTCTTGAAGGCCCTTGGCTGGGCCGAGTGTGACCACACACACGCACGCACGCACGCACGCACGCGCACACACACACACACACACACATTCAACTCACATTGTTCATGGTGAAGGAACTCTTGTTTGGCATATTCTAATCAGCCATCTAAGATAATCATGCTTCCTGGCTACAGGTAGTAAGTTGTATGTTTCACTCTCCTTGTAACCTTTTGAGTTCCAATGCTATGTAATACAAGAGTTTATAAATTAAGTCATTGCAAAGGTCCGAAGACAATATCTGGCAGACCACACATTCAAAATTACTCTAGGGTTTTAAGTTTAATTTCTCTAAAGCACTCTGATGGCAAATAGCACGTTTTTCACAGGAAAAATACAACATTTTTTTGATCTATTAACACTTCAAATTCCTTTAACTGTTTCATATCTAGTAGCTCAAAACTGCAATTCATTTAGACCTCTGTTCTGGGTTAATCTTCAGGAAATAAAGTTTGGTTTGTCCCCTCCCTGACAATTTGTACAATCTATTGCAGTGCACAATATAGCCATTTGCTGAATTTAGTGAAAAAGTTTGTACATTTAAAAAGACATCACATGAGACAATGAACTAACAAAGAAAGTTATTCATCCAATGAAGCAGCTAAACACAGATCTTGTCATTTTCTGACACAAATTGGATCGTCTCTATCAACCTTTAGTGGCATCCATCCATCCTTCTGTCTGTCTACCCATCTATTTTCTTTACCTGCTTCTTTCTTTTCGTGTTGCGGGGGTCACTGGTGCCCATATCCAACAGTCACTGTGCAAGAGGTGAGGTACACCCTGGGCAGGTTGCAAGTCCATCACAGTTTAGTGGCATCTGATTTTTTTCTACCTGAATGTTATTTCTTCCCCTCTGCCATCGGACTCTTGAACACTCATAATCACGTTACTTTATAACTCTGCTTTGGTCACTTTATCACTGTATTTTAATTGCATTACTCCAATTGCATGTTTTTTCTGAGTATTGTATTGGTGTACATATGTTTTCTTTTATCTTTTATATTTTATTTGCACCTTTATGCCGAAGCAAGTTCCTAGTCTGTGAATCCTGTTCATTGACAATGGCAATAATATACTGAATCTGAATTTACATTACTGATTTGTCAGTGCAATGCAGCAGCTAATTTTGCCTTGTCATTTTAAAAATAGTCCAGCGTTAGTCAGTAGGAAGTCATTCCACCCTCCATCACAACCCAGTACAGTACTTCCTCATTGACTGGAGCATTGCATACACTCTTCGATATAAATAGCTGTCATCTCCCACACAGCAGACTGACAGACTGCTAGATGTCTGCCACCTCTGGAGCAGCGGGCCTTTCCTCAGCAATCTCTGTCAACAGAACACACAAATACCCTCAGAAGCACACAAAACACATATACAGACATCCATAAGGGCTTACACACATACACACCTCCATCCTCAGCCCTCTGCTCAGACAGCAACCCCCACAAGGACACCCTGTCAAAACCTCTTCCTTTTTCACTTCCTGTCTCCATGTACCATGGATACCACAGCCATGGACTTTGAAATCTGTTCCTTTTTCAAGTTTTTTCCAACTTACACAGATGTGGGGTTTTCTTCCCCTTCTATTCCATACTGTCTTTTGTTCACCCTTTCTGTTAACATGTGTCAGGCAAGGCAGCCTTGGCATTTCCCAGTGTTTTTTTTTTTATTTTCAGAGAAATCAAGAGATTTTGTAGAATAGGGACTTATATGTTCTATACAAAACTATATAGAGTTATTTAAAAATTATAATATAAAAAAGTTATATTTTGCACCCTCCTTCACTTCCTTGAGCATATTCTTGCATGTAAGTAAGCTTTTTCATCTTAGCATATTTTATTGTTTGTGTGTGTCAGGTCCTCCAGAAGATTTTAAAAATTCATCAATGCTTTGAATATCCACACATGTATTTGTACGGTTTGCACAAATGTCTCACCAGGCTGACTCTGTATTTTCAGATTTTTGCCAGGAGAGTGACTTAGAAATGTGCACAGAGAATTGCAAGGCAGGAGATGACTTCATAGTTACTCTGTTCAACCTCTTCTCCTGCTTGAATAAAGTTCCCAAGGCTTTGACTCAGGCCCTACAGCCATACCTGGAGAGGGCACATATTTGGAAACATCTCTACACACTGGCAGGTAATGTAGCCCTCACAAGCAAATATTACTTTTTTCTTCAGGGGGTCATTACTGCAAAATGTAAAAAAATTAAAAAAGACAATTCACATACACAGCCACAAGACTAAATAAAATTAAATAAAAGTTTTAGATACTCAAGTACTGCACACTTTATTATAGAGAATAAAACATATTTTACAAAACAAAGTTTACAATTTAGCTCCAAACAAGTCCAAGCAAAGTAATCATGACTATATGATTTCAGTTATCACACTCCTACAATTGTCTAAATCATTATCTAAACAGGAACAAGCAAAACAGTCACCTGCTTTAAAATTGTGGGTTTTAAAATCAAGCAAAAATGTGATATATTGTATTCATTGTTCTGAAATATTTTAGCTGTCAGCAATATATATTGGAACAGACAAGGATTAATTATAGGCATTAGCAGGCATGTCCTGCCAACAGTGCATCACCAGATGTTGAACGAGAAAGCCTGAACAAGTAGAAAGTAAAAGTAGAGACATAGTTGTTTAATATTTGCATGAATGTAGTAGAAGGTGCTTAAGTGTTTTATGTATGCATGTGTTTTTTTTATCCTTATAAAATTTAAGCTTTTCAACAATTTGCTGGCGTGCTTGAGACTTGTTCCTTTACATGGTCCACTATGGGCCTAGATTTAGTCATGAACAGATTGCCTTAGGGAGGTTGCTACTTGACAAGCAATGTATTAATGTTTATACTAAACTCCAACCTAAAGTCCTGGAGGACTTACAGCCATATTTGGCCCTGTTTTCTTCATTTGAATATTACGTTAGTTCAAAAAGTACATACCGGTATTCATAATGCTCACACATGGGTTCCTTATGCTTTTGTGTATCAGAGGTTTTGGTTCATAGCTGTCAACTTGAAAGTGTCATATTTCTATGTAACATTTCTCCTCTTCCAAGATACATTCCAGATTTTTGTTTTTTTAAACTATTGAAAGTACAGTGTCTGTGCAATGCACAGAGGCAGTGATCCCTCCATTCAACGGGGCATTCTATATGTTTGATTGAGCAGGTGGACCTGTTAATCTTTGAATATTTAAGTAGGGTGTTTCAATGGGTTTTGTACTGGAGGTTTTGAAAAGATGCCCAACCACATATGATTTAGTCCTTACAGGCACCTGCAGGTATGTTCGCTCACTCCCATCCATAGCCTGACTACACCATGGGCTGTTTAAAGTATAATACACAGAGAACATCTGTGTAGTTGCTAACTGATCTTTACCTCTTTTACTTTTGCCTAATCAAATGAGTTGGACCTCTCTGCTTCTAGTGTTGTGTATGTACCAGTAAGGCTGAGTACTTCGCCACCATACAAGTAGATTGCCTCTCCTTTAGTCCTGATATTTGTTTAACTTAACATTGTCGGGCAATACTCAAGTTTCTGCATACTATTGTATGTCAGTAAAAACAAGTGCTTTAAACTGGAGCATAAAATTACTTTAATAGGATGGTGGGGTAGCACAAGTGAAATACCTCACTAGACATCCCAGCAATGCAAGAAGAGGTGCTTACATTTAATGAGGCTGTGTGAGCTCCTTAAAGGGCGGAAACACAGACATTACTGTCATCAGTCAGTCAGGATGGACGTATTGAGATGTGCACTGAGAGGCATATCTTACAGTAATACACCTCACTCATGCTACTCTAGAGAACCAGGGTTACGGAAGTACTGTACTCTGCATACAGTTATTGCCTTTTGCACAAGTAACCTTCTGTCTGTTGGGTGCTGGGAGAATTGCTTTCTTTGTTGTTCAGGGATTTCCTATAGTAGATAAATTATTGCAAAAGTTTGTGTACTTGACATTACTCTGAAACACATCTGCAATAATATGTGTCTAGTAGCTACTTCGGTACACTTCAAACAAAACAAAACAAAAAGATATGCTCTAATGGAACTATTAAAAAAATGTTAAATTGTGTAATCTGGACCAGTTTCTTTAAGTGAGAAACTTTTCGTCCCCCATCCTGAGGACTTCCTCAGTCTATGGCCTGCCCACCACATCTGTCCCATAGGTAGCCTTCAGTGCTGTATTTTAAGCCAAGTGTTTCAAACCTACTTTTGAGATTCCAAGAGGAGGTTGGCCTGAAACACAGCAGTGAAGGCTACCTATGGGACAGAGCTTGTTGACAGGCCGTAGACTGAGGAAGTCCTCTGGATGGGGGATGAAACATTTCTCACTTAAAGAAACTGGTCCAGATGACACAATTTAACTTTTTTTTTATTTTTTTATTGTTATCTACCTGGATGATTGAGCTTACAACCCTTTTTCCTAATGGAACTGCTAACAAACATGCAACAGACTGACCAATCAGTGCAGACTACAGTTTTTAGAACAAAACTTAAGAAGACACCTAAAATTCACTGTTTGTAGCATAAGGTCAAGAAAACGTGCTTCATCAAGGTTGAATATGAGCCTAAGAATGTGTCTTCCAACATTAAAATATGCCATCTTTGCCATGATCAGCGCCACCCGCTGGCCCCCCATCTGCTTACTTCCCTGCCCCTTCATGACATGCCATGTTTTCTGCCCTTCTGGTCATGGTTTCTGTTCATGTTTATTATTCTCATCTCCTGTCAACCTGCACCTCTGCCTGCTCACTTAACCACACCCACTCTGCTGAGTCACTGCAATGAACCTTCATGCCTCTCACCTGTTCATGTCTATTTAAGCACCATTCTCCCTCTCCACCAGGGACGAATTATTATGGCACGAACCAGGGTTTTGGATTCAAAATAAGCAAGACACAGGAGTGCAAAAACAAGAACAGTTTTTATTAACTAGTCTGCTGGTTGCTGGGGTCAGGGTCCAAGGCAGGAGTCCAAACTTAAAAGACAGAGAGGTTAGTGACTTTGGTGAGGACAAGGGGATACTGTGAAAATAGTTAAAGTCCCTAACCTTCTCAGTCTGTATGTGGCAGGAGAAATCCAGAGGTGTGGTCCAATGGTCGTAGCGGGGGTCAAGCACGTAGAAGCAGAGAAGCATGAACAGGGCTGAGTCGTGATCCAAAAGAGTAGTCAAAGGGAGAGCAAGAGTCATTATTGTGGTCAGATATGCAGACAAATCCAGAGAGGGGCAAGGTGAGGAGTCAAAAAACAGGTGAGGGTTCAAGGAAAGACAAGGCAAAAGACAAACCTATGGAACAAGATACAATGACTGAAGGCTTCACTATCAGGGACCATGGGAGGTTTAATAATTCGGCCCTGGTGGAGAGGGAGAATGGTGCTTGAATAGAGACATGAACAGGTGAGAGGCATGAAGGTTCATTGCAGTGACTCAGCAGAGTGGGTGTGGTTAAGTGAGCAGGCAGAGGTGCAGGTTGACAGGAGACGAGAATAATAAACATGAACAGAAACCATGACCAGAAGGGCAGAAAACATGGCATGTCATGAAGGGGCAGGGAAGTAAGCAGATGGGGGGCCAGCGGGGGCCGCTGATCATGACAATCTTAATTAAGTACCTAAATTACAGTAATAAGGATTTTTAAACAAATATGCTTTAATTGTATAACTTGCAGTCAAATGTAATGTATTTTACTTGGAGATAAGAATTTTGTCCCCAAAGAATTTATTGGCTTTTATTTTTTTCTAAATGTTAATGTTGAGTGTGCATGAACTAAAGCACTATATGATGCTTCACTGACTGCAATAAGTCCTTAATTCTTCTTCTTCTTCTTTGCTTTTGCCAAATGCTGAGCTTTATTGCACAGCTTAATCAGAACTCCTGTGGAGTAGAGAGCTCTTTTTAGTAGAGATTCTTATATCCTGGGCGAGTGGTAATTATTGTAGCATAAATTAGGGTGATTGGAGAAGAGTATTTGGATGGGGACAGAGCACGGGAGGGGTCGGCAGAGGGAGCGAATGAAAGACAGCGTTTGCCAGAGAGAAATCTTCAATGTCAAGCAATCATCATTTATTCTCACAGGATAATTAGTTTAATTATTGAACTGTTCAAAATTTTCATATTTTAATTTTGGTACAGGATACCCCCAGTGTCCCTATTGCTATTTAAACCATTTGCTGAGTTAACTTTCAGAGATTACATACAGAGTTTGACTGTTTTTCTACTTATTATGTTTTGTCACACAAGGTTGTATCAAATCAATACGCTTGTCAATATAGTTAGGTCAATGTAAAATTTGACAACTGACGTATTTTTACAAAAATAAGTCTAGACCACATTTGCCACAGGTTGCCTTTTCCTTAAAAAGCCATATCATTTTATAGTCTACTCTCTCAATTATTTTTAGCTTTGAATTTACCCATTCACCTTGCATCCCTAGAGATTCCAGTGTCACCGCAAGAATCTTGGGTAGCCTCTGATTTTACAGAGCTGTCAGAAGTCTTTGTCTGCTGCACAACTTCTTTCTGTAGATTATCTGTTATCAATAAAAGCGTGACAGGAAAGTTCAGGGGGATTAAAACCACACACAGCACCTGATAAAAGTACTCCCACTATCAAGCCATCTACTGAAGTTTTGATTGAGAACATCTGAATTAAACCTAAACTTACAATGCTACAATGTAAATAGTTCAAGAAAACAAGTAAGCAATGTGTGAACCAACTTATTATAACTTCCACATGTTCACATTGTGTGATAAAGGGAGTCACAGGTTGAATATGTTTACCAGTGCTTATTTGAAAAGCAGAAATTATAAAATGAAACAAATACTTAACATGATGTGTTTAGTGATACAAGAACAAATACATACTATTCTATATTTTCTTAACTGTGCATCTAAAATGTTTTTTTTTCTTTATCATACTTTCTTTTAAAAATAATTCCAAGCCTTTTCTTTACAATAAGCAGCACAATAAACGTTTAATTAATCAGAATCCAATTTTGTATAACTGTTTTTTTTTTTTACATGTTTCTTAATAATTTTTCTTTTCATCCATTTTCATTGAAAGCACACATTTTCTGAACTCAATTTTCTTTTCCGGTTTATTAAAGTATCTAAACATTTTTCTTTGTTTTCTATTTTCTAAAAGACACAACTCAGACGGTACCGGTGTTGGTCACCTGTGTCAGAGAAATGGTGACAAAGTCAACCAATAGCATTTTGGTTCAGCTGGCGTCTATGGTGCTGAGGTGGCAGGCCACAGATGAGTCCAAAGAAGTCATGCTCAAGCAAAATGTGCCAGAAAGCATCCTGGCTAAAATACCAAAGGACTGGGACTTTAAAACGTTTGATGGAAGGGGAAAGGACACTGCCACTAAGAGTATGCACAAAGTCTTTGTCACATTTCATGAACATAATTATCAACAATCTAAGGCTGTTTTACACACCTGGTTTTTCTTTCTTTCTCCAGGTACCATAACTTTTGCAATTCAGGGATTGTCTTTTGTTTTTACCAACCTGCCTTTGGTTGTAGCATCCTTGCCTCTTTCCATTCGCTTCCTTTTTCAAGTGGCAGAAAAGCACCTCTCTCAGCATTCCCGACAGCTGCGCTCAATGGGCCTGCTGCTCTGGGCCCTGCTTGGCTGCTTGATTCAGGGCCTGGAGGATATAAACACTCTTGAGCAGATCAGTGGTCTGGCTCTGGATGGTGGGGCAAAGAACTGCCTCGCTCTGCTCGGGGAGTGCGTACAGGCTGCAGTGAGCATTCAGCAAAAGGTAAAGGCTATACTGATAAAAATAGGATTCTTAAACACAATTTTGCAGTTCATTGTAGCACATAGCCGTACTGTCTTATATGATTGATTCAATTGTACTGTACTTATGATTGATTTGATGTTCAACTTGATTTTATTAATTTATCTTAATTATAACAGGGTGTTCCCAGACTTACAATGCACAAAGTTCTTCAGGCTCTAGAGGAAAAAAGACCCAAGTGGATAAACATGCAGCTGCAAAAGGCTCGGAAGCTCTGTACAGACAGGTGAGAATCCCCCTGGTAGATTTTAACCCTCCTGCTGCCCTTGGGTCAAAAGGAGCCACAAGGCCTCAGTTTTTAAACTGAGGCTTCATGGGTCATTTTGACCCAAAGGCAGTAGAAGCCTTAATAAGAAATCTAGGCAAGGACTGTGCACTTTTATTTCTTATCCATCATCAATCTATGCAAGTTTTTGATTAAAACGAATTGTGGTTTTAGTGAGAGCATTTTCATTGCAAAAATGCCTCTTTATGCAATCAGATTATCTCAATTTTGTGATTACTAACATATAGGTTGAGGGCTGACAGTCTGGCAAAGAATAAGGTTCAAACCAATCACCTTGACTGATGTTGTTGCTCGAGATTAAAAGAAGACTAAATAAAGAACAAAAAAAAGCTTGCCTTTTTAATTGAGCATTCAATGTCTGATGTATGGTGTCATCAAACTAATTTTTCATTTAAAAGCTTTGAGTAAAATAAATGAATCTCCAATGTGTGTTGTGGTAAGTGATGTGGTGGACATGTCATTTTACTGAGAGGTCTGCAGGCTGGAATGATGGGAAATCAGCTATCATTTTAAGTTTATCTACGACCTTAGGCTTTGTGTTGTGTAGCGTGTTCCCAGAAATGGCATCTCTGTTTGCTCACTTCATCATAACAAACTCATGCATTCATACTCGTGAAAAGTTGATTGAATTGTCTACTGAAAAAAAACAAAAAACAAACATTGACTAAGCAACAACCAGTTCTAGGAAGAGCTGCGTGTTACAGCAACAAGAAAAGAGATCAAGAGAACAGATGGGACAGTGGAAAGCTGGTGAGGGAGGGGTTGAGTGAAAAGTGAAAGAAGAGTGATTATGAATCACCTGTCGGAGGCATTCAGTGGGATCATTACTATTCATTAAACTAACCTTCACAGGGAAGTGACGCCTGGCTTGTAAACAATCAGAGTACAGTGTCACACAGAGAGAGCTGTGGATTTAATAACTCCAAAAACAAGTGGCCCTTTTTTTCGTTTTGCTGGCATCACACATGCAAAGTAAAACATTTGACAAAGAACGTTTGCCCCTTGTGTGAGCTTTCATCTGTTCTTTCATCTCACTTTCTCTTTTTCCTTTACCAACTGTAACCCTCGTCGCTGCGTCACCCACCTTGTCTTTGCAAAGTAATTTGTAGAGGAGAAGATTATTGTTCTCCATCATGGTGACCCTGGCTGAGCTGACGGGATGCATACACAGATGAAGATGAATGCAGTTATTCCTTGGCGGAGGTCTGCCTCTTTCAGGGCACATTGGCCCTAATGACATGATTGATAGGCTGTCCCAAATCCAGAGGGGCCCTCATTAATCACCCCACTGACTGAATCCAATCATCTGCTTCACCTGCACAGTGATGGACAGGAAAGGATACAGCGCAGGTGCTGACACGGATGCACAGCCACCACCGCCGACAACACTACCGCCAGGCCGCCAGGCAAAAGAATGAGGCGATGTATACGGACAAGACGGGACTCCTCTTCTTTTTCACCCTCAATGTCAAACAGCCAATGGCTGGCTGACAGGCAACACAGCTTCTGCCATATTATAATTACAAAGGGGGGCAAGGGAAAGAGGAAGTGAGAGGGAACAATGACAGGAAGTGTATGTGAAGGAGAAGATTTGATGGACGGTAGTGTGATACCCATCCATACAGAAAGGGCAGGAAATGATGTGGGCGTATGCCAGAGTTGGGGACTGCACATGCTTGAGAGCCTTGACACACAATTACACACACGTATACACCTAAAAGTGCACACACACCAATCATTTTAGTGCTGCAGGTTCCTCTGGTCAAAGTGTTCCAGGTATCTCATGAATTGAAATGGAAATGTTAAAAGTATTTTTTTGTGCTCTATTGAAGACTTAACATGCTTAAATTTAATTTTCATTCATGTTTTTCTTGATTGGAAAAAGAAATCTAAGATGAGTTTCATTAATTTAATGCTAAATTGTCCTCTGAAGCGAGCAATTTGACTTGAAAGTAAAATAAAAATAAAAATGTTTATTTGAAAAGACAGGATTTCATTTTCTGATGTAGCAAATATCACTTTTTGGTCCAAATTATTATCTTGGCCACAAAATACCTTCTTCACATGAGCCTTTCTTCTTCTTGCTTTCTCTTTTATCACTGTATTTTACCCCGATGTTCACTTTCACATATTTTTCTCTTCCCATCACTGTTTTTCTCTCAGCATATTTGAGCAAGGGGTAGAGAGAGAAGTTGCTGCAGCTGAACTGACTGAGCAGAAAATAGGCCTGATTCTGCTGGAGGTGTGCCACAAAGCAGGTGGCAGCCAGTACCTGAGGCAGATCTATCACATCATCCAAGGCAATGAGGTAGGGAAGCACTCGCTCTCCCCAGCAATTAGGTGGCTGCTGGCCTGAGGCCGCAGGCTGTTCAGAAGGGGAAGATGGAGGGAAGAGGGCTACTGCCTGTGTGCAGTCTGCTGGCTTTGATCTTCTCATGTGCAGGTGACCTCAAGGGTGCAAACCTTTAGTGATTTCTCAGTGTAGAAGAGATTTAGTCACATAGACTTGTAAGACTCAGCATAAAGCACAAAAAGTTTTCCTTTTTTGCATGTACCGGTAACTTAAGAGTTAACAATTTTAGCTGAAATAGCTTCAAATGATACATGAAGTATAGCTGTTCTCCTAAAAGTGCTGAGCTTTGTTTGAGCTAATATGTATGATGAATACATAGACAAATAAATCAGTACTTTATCATGAGAATGTGGGAGACAATACAACTGAGTTCCTGTTTAAAAAAAAAAAAATCTTAACATAGTACAACATAAATATGAGGAAGTTTAGAAATGTAGTGTTGTTATTGAATTTTACTGTAGTAATTTACAGCAGTTTAGAAAGACCTCAGAAAAGAAATAAATAATTAAAAGTGGTTTCTATTTTACACATAGTCAAAAAATACTTGTCGAGTTAAAACAGTTGCTAAGGCTTTCCAGCTTTTGCAATTCGCATTTGACATCATCCAGTCAATTTGTTCCACCTCATACTTGTCCTAAACGGCGATAAAACCAAAGGGATGCTTTTTTCAAACAGGAAGTCGGTCCAGCAGTTTTTCCTCCAATTTTATCCTCAAATGGGGATAAAATCATCAATCATACAATCATCTTCATACAATCATCTCATCTTGAATGTGAACAAAACAAAGGAGATGATTTTAGATTTCCAGAGAATCAGGAACGTGTCCAACCCTATTTCCATCATGGGAGAAGAAGTGGAGGTGCTGGAGAAGTATAAATACCTTGAGGTTCACCTGGACAACAGACTGGGCTGGAGATATAACATTGAAGCTGTCTACTAGAAGGGACAGAGCAGACTGTACTTCTTGAGGAAGCTGAAGTCCTTCAACGTTTGCAGCAAGATGTTGCATATCTTCTATAAGTCTGTTGTAGAGAGCGCTATCTCTTCTGCCATCATCTGCTGGGGGAGCAGCACCAGAGCAAGTGACTTAAAAAAGATCAACAAGCTCATAAAGAAGGCTGGCTCAGTTCTGGGGACTCCTCTAGAACCTTTGGAGATGATTGTTCAAAGAAGGATTCTTCATAAAATGAAAAACATTATAGACAACCCTCAGCATCCTCTTCATCAGACTGTCACACAACAACAGAGTGTCTTCAGTCAGAGGCTTCTTCAAATCCGTTGTAGGACAGGCAGCTACAAGAGATCCTTCCTGCCCACAGCCATCAGCATCTATAACAACTCATTAATGAAACCAGGATGATGAGTTACAACAACATTTAATTTCCCTCTGGGATTAATAAAGTATTTTTGAATTGAATTGAATTGAATTTGAAATTGTGTCCCCATATAATTTGTTGATTCCTATAAATATTTGTGTATCTTGGTCGACTCGCATCTCTCTTTTAAGTTCCACGTGGAAAACCTAGTAAAGAAACTGAAAGTTAAACTGGGTTTCTTTGTCAGAAACATATTCTTTCTCACTCTGAATGCTAGGAAACACCTTGTAACTGTGACCTTCCTTCCCTTCATTGATTACAGTGATATTATTTACATGAACGCTCCTACAAGAACCCTGCAGATGTTGGCTGCTGTCTATCATGGTGCACAAAGATTCATAACTGGTTGTGATTATCGTACCCACCACTGCACCTTGTATTCACTGGTTAACTGGTCATCATTAACTTCACGCAGACACTCCCACTGGTACATTTTCATCTTTAAGTCACTTCTTGGTCTGCTGCCTTCATACATCTCCTCCTACATGTCTCTGCATGAGTGCAGCTCCAGCGTGTGCTCTCAGGACATTATTACCTGCAGTGTTCCCTCAGTGAGGACTGAACTTGACAAAAGGGCCTTCTCCTACTCCGCTCCTGTTTCCTGGAATATCTTACAAAAAGATTTGAAGCTCTCGACCTTGACCTGTCTAAGTGGCTTTAAGAATCTGTTGGACTCCTGGCAGGGACCAATGCAGACATGTTCCTGTTTTTAGTTTTCTACATTCACCTTATAATCCAGCCATTTTTGCTACTTTTTTTTGCCATCTTATTTTAATTTGTAAAAAAAAAAAATAATAATAATAATCTGTATGCCTCTTTGATAATTGTCTGTTGTCGCGGTTGTCCATGATTGTCATCATTTTTGTTGAAATCAGGTCTCTCTTGTAAATGAGTCTTCGAGGCTCAATGGGATTAACCTGTCTAAATAAAGGTTGAATGATTGCATACGTACATGCATGCATACATACATACATACATACATACATACATACATACATAAATATATACATACATATATACATACATGCAAACATACATACATACATACAGGCACGCACACACACATACACACACAAATACATCTTCTGCTTCCCCAACATAAGTTTGTTTATCAGGTCACAGCAGAGTTCCACAAACATAAACCAGAGTCATATTATGCACTATTTAATTTAATTCATATCAATATATCAGGTTGTGATTGTACCTCGACATATCTGCTTCAAAAAGGGTCAAGGTAAGAATATGCTGGTCAGGGACAGACAAGGTGGCTGTTTAAATGTAGAGACTGGTGGTTCAGAGGCCATATCAATTTGACTGATTGAAATAGAGTGAATTCACAACATAATTCATTCAGCCTTTATTTATACAGGTTAGTCTCATTGAGTCATGAGGACTCATTTACAAGAGAGACCTGTTTTAGACAAAGAACACAGATAAGGTACAGACAACAATAGACAATCATATAAAAGCATATAAAATGAAAAGTAAATACAATAAATTATATAAAAACTAAACAAAAAACAAGCTACATTATAAAACATTGTAAAATACTTACAATAGGAACATGTCTGCATTGATTTTTGCAATTAGTTTAACATGGAGATACCCATCCATCCATCTATCCATTATCTTTTACCCTATTCTTCCATTTTGGGTCACAGGGGTCACCGGTGCCCATGTCCAGCCATGGAGATACCCATTTTCTTATAACATACACTACAGACAGTGTTTTAGACTATCTTTTACCTGACAGGTAGACCATTGCAGAATTATTACAGAAAGGTTGTTGAAATAAGAGCAGAAAGTAAACACAGTTTCTTTTTGGTTATCGTTTCTATTTTTAGTCGGAGAAGGCTGTTTAACTGAAGAAAATTTGACTCAAGACCTTCAAAGTTTTGCTTTACTTGCATTAAAACAACATTAATATGCATTTAGATAGTTTTGTTTCTTTGCAGATTCAGTCAGACTAGATATAAACCACAGCTGATTATTGTAACTGTTATGATTACATAATTTCTCTTCATATGCCTTTTTCTTCAGGAATAATACTCAAACATAGTTAACTTTCATTTCCACTATTTTTAGTTTGCCACTCTTTATCTTTGCAGACAATTTTTTAAGTTATCTTATATTATTCTGCCATGCTGTTTTTCATTTCCATTAATATATTTGATGCAGGAACTCTTGATGTCTCGCCTCAGTGGAAGCACCGAGCTTTCAAAGGAACCTCATCTCTTGGTTAACTTTAACGTTGGTCCTGAGAATCCTGCTCAAACTGACTGTTTCAACCCACTTCTTCAATTCAACCACATTGGCAAGAAGAAGCTGGATCAGGTTTGTTGTGCCTTTATAGGTCAACATTATAATTTATTTTGACAAAATACTTTTTGTAAATAATTCTGCCAGCTGTATGAATTTTCATCTAATCTACTATTAATAATAAAAAGAAATCATAATAATTAAAAAAGTAAGAGTGAGTTTTAAGTTTTCAAACTTTGCAAAGTGCAGGTGTACTTGTCACATGTAGATGTAGTGTCATTTTGATTTGAACCAAGGCCAGATGCTTAATGTTGAAGGTGAGAAGCTTCTTGAGTCCCTCATGAACTGGGTACTATAAAAGTCTCTGAAGCTGTCAGGTCTTTCTGGGGCTTGGCTTTTGTGTTTCCCAAAGGTCGCTACCTTTTCCAAGCATGGGGCTTGGATGGCAGAGAAGAAAAGAACGCTGAAAAAGTGGAAAGATGAGAGACATTTTCTTTTCTTAAAAAAATAAGTAATGTTAAAGGAGAGTGCAGTCTAAAAGTGCACTTCTTTGGAGCTTTGAACCACATATTCTCTTACTGCTAACCTATCCTCAGGAGTGTCACCATGATGTTCAGTTATTTTTATCTCTTATGAAGGTATTAAGTCTAGTTACAAGCAGCTTAAGTTCACCTTCTCTGTTCTGTCAAAAAATATTCCAATGATCTCACACAAAACAATAATAATAATACATTTTTTTTTCTTTTAACATAGGTTTTAAACAAATAAATTGGATGCATTATATGTTTGTGGTCTATTGGGACCATGTTTGTTGCTATTGTTTTTAAAGAACAGTCATCTTAAGCCCAAGGTTTGGCCCATTTTAAGCTTATTGACTGAGGTTGCATAGCTTTGCATAGAAATACCCTATTAAGAGAATGATTAAAATGCCTTCTCTGTTTCAGGTGCCAGTGTTGTTTGTCAAATAAGACAGAAGGAGGGGGAAAAAGTTACACTCATCAATCAAACATGAGGAGGAAAAAAAATCTTCATTATCGGATGGATGGAATGGAATGGATGGAATGGACGGATGTGGATGGATGGATGGAATGGATGGATGGATGGATGGATGGATGGATCTCATTCTTTGGTCACATAACCTGGAGTTAAATGTTACATTTAAACAATCAAAGAAACACGTTTCATTTTCTTTCCTGATATGGTAATAGTCTGTAGTGTGTTAGTCTGTGTAATGCTTGTTTGTGTATCTAAGAAAAACAGATCAAAAGAAATGGAGAAAAAAGGAGGGTGGGGAGGGGGTTGGCAGGTTGCCATGTAAGATGGAAAGAAAAAATACATAGCAAGAAGAGTAACGACTCACTCCAAAATTTGATTTATCTTTCTATAAATGATGGCTACATCCCCCCAAATGGTTTTATAAATTAATTGCTGTCTTATTGGAATAAAAACCTTCTTGTGCAGACATGATTGATCGCCTGATGTCATGGCCTACGCTAGCGAACCCCCTCCTCCTTTGTTAGTGGGTCCCAGCTGGAGCGGTAATGCACTGATGGTATTAACCTTGATTAATAACTAACAATACGCTTTCCTCATGCATCAACAGAGTGCCGTGGTCGACTGGCCGTGGGACTGGCCGAGGCTGCTGCCAGCCTATGAGGGCATGAGTCGGGTCACCTTCAGGAGTCTGATGGCCAACAGGTAAAACTTTTCATTTGTTACAGACACGCACATGTGTCTTTTGTTTTATTCCTGCTGTCATCTTGGGCAGGAAAAAAAATCCTCTAAACTCACATGGATGAAAAGACAGCGTTTGTTCCAAGTTTTTCCATTTTGGTTTCCAAAATAGTGGTGGACTTTTTATAACAGCTTCTGTTTTCTGTTACTTTCTTCTTCTGTGAGTTCATTATGCTACATAATGTTATGATCAGGGCAGCACGGTGGCGCAACTGGTAGAGCTGCTGCCTCTCAGCGAGCAGGTTCCTGGTTCAAACCCCGGTCCAGGGGCCTTTCTGGGTGGAGTTTGCTTGTTCTCTCTGTGCATGCGTGGGTTTTCTCCGGGTACTCTGGTTTCCTCCCACAGTCCAAAAACATGCATGTTAGGCTGATTGGTAACTCTAAATTGTCCCTAGGTGTGAGTGAGAGAGTGAATGGTTGTTTGTCTCGTTTGTCTCTGTATGGCCCTGTGATGGACTTGCGACCCGTCCAGGGTGTACCCCGCCCCTCGCACAGTGATTGCTGGACATGGGCACCAGCGACCCCCGTGACCCAAAATGGAATAAGCGGGTAAAGAAAATGGATGGATGGATGGATGTTATGATCAAAATTATCTAAGTCAAATTAATATTGACATTAGTATTCATTTAACAGAAGGTATCACTGATGTTGAAAATTTCTTACACTTGATTTTTAAGAAGGAAAAAAAAATGTGTTGAACTCCTAGGTATCAACGTGCGTTCATGAAAGTCTTTTTGTTTGTTGGTTAGTTCTAAACATTATCAAATCAAGCAAATATATTATATTTCTGACAATGTGCCCTTAATTTAAAGTGACACCTCCTTCAGACAACAACCCTTTCCTCCTTGAAAGAGAGGTACAACTTTTCCTTAGACACTCATCATCACTTCTATCCAGGTCATGTGCCGGCTGAACAGTAAGGAGTGGACTCACTTAAAGATTTTGAAATATATCTCAACTTGGCCGTGTGATGTCTGTTTCTACTTCAAGTACTTTTAATTTATTTTTTTCCCAGTAATTTTTTGTTGTTTTGTGTTAAAAGCCTAAATTATAGTTATGAATACAATTGAACTAATTTAACAGAAACTATGTGTTTAGTTAAATACATTTTAAGGCTCCTGTTATGCTAGTCATTGGGTATTTTGAGACTTCAGGACAGATTTGACAGTTCTTAATGGTGAATAAAGACTGGCCAGCTCAGATCTCTTAGTCACCTGAAGCTTTTTGCCCAAGACCACCTCTTCTATCCAGTCATCTCATTCCTTCCTTTCCCTCCTGCTCTACTCTGCAACAGGCATAAATATTTATGCAGGTATGTGACACATATTAGATTGCAGTACTTCAGGCTGTTCCCTGTTCTCCATTCACAGCTGTCACGCTGCCAGCTATCAGGGAGCTATGGGGCTACTGCACCTTGTCTCCACGCCTACGCCCAATCCATTCTAAATCACTGCCATTGTAACACACACACCTTTCTAACAAAGGGCAAGCTCTGCATCTGCCAAGGACACAGGCCTAATAAGGGTGAAGTACGCAGCTCTGTGCTGTGCTATGACGAGCGTTGTCGCCTTCGCGCCTTTACGCCATCTTCCTACAGACACACACTCCATTCCTCCTCTTCTTATTTGCTGCTTTGTTGCATGTTAAAACAGATACTGTCATTGCTTGACTGAGCCAAATTAGGCTTGGAGCATTCATGAATAGAAACTGAATAAGGTGGATATTAATTCCAATAGGAGGAGACTGAGCAAGAGACTGAACATGCAGTTTGACATTGTGAGTGACATGTTAAGGAAGAGTAGTCAATTCTGACAAGAAACTCTCGAAAATATGAGAAAGGATGGGATTGGGAAGGGTAAAAGTTATATAATTCACTCTAATCTCACAGTATCAAAGTGTCTTAGATGCTGTCATTTGCCTCATTAGCCTCTCTTTGTTAGGCCAGAAGAGCAGATTTCATGGAGGATTTGGAGAGTGGCTTTGCTTCTGCCTGAGTCAGTCACAGAGAGCAGGAAAATCCTTTTATGGCAAGCAACATGTAAGCTGTCAAAGTTTTCTCAGATTCATCAGTGACTCAAAAATATCTCTCAAGCTATTGAAGACTGCGCGATAAGGACCCTGATCTCTGATCCACTCATTTGTTTGTTAGAAAGTCTCAGGATACAGCTTTTTACACACCTGCAAGCTGAATTCCTACCCCCTGGCTTTTTTCACAGACGCTCTGCAACAATTACTGTACTCTACGACCTATTTCAGTCCCTGGAAAAACCACTATAATATATGGTTGACAAAACTAATAAGCATTGTTTCTGTCTTCAACAAAAACACATTATGTTGTACAAGTTTTTTGTCTCCTTGAATGACTTCCTTGTGCTGTTTACAGGAGGCATGCTTTTTTTTTCTCTGCAGACTTTGAGAGTGAGCAAAGTGTCCCATTGGCCTCCAATATATTGTTATAGTGGCAGGACAGTTATTGTGCCCGGGGTTTATGTCATGTTCTAATGGAGCAAGGCTATGAGTTAAGGGCGGCAGGCTTTTAAACCAGGGCTGTTAAATCACAGTTCAGATGACTTCATTAGGAGACCAGGACACATGCTGAGACACTTCTGCCTGCACACACAACAACCATGCGTGCATCCACCTCATCTCACATGCACGCCTGCACACACACACACACACACACACACACACACACACACACACACACACACACACACACACACACACACAC